GTGATTCCATATAAATTTTAGGATTATTTGTTCTAGTTCTGTGAAAAAATGTCCTGGGTAATTTGATAGGGATCACATTAAATCTATAGATTGATTTGGGTAGTATGGCTATTTTAACAATATTACATCTTCCAATCCAAGAGCATGGGATATCTTTCCATTTCCTTAAGTCATCTTTAATTTCCTTAATCAATCTTGTAGTTTTCCGTATTTAAGTCTTTCAGCTCCTTGCTCAGATTTATTCCTAAGAATTTTGTTTTTATGGATGTTATTTTCAAAGGGATTGTTTCTTTACTTTCCTTTTCTGATAGTTCATTGTTACTGTAAAGAAATGCAGCTGAATTCTGTATGTTAACCTTGTATCCTACTACCTTGCTTAATTCCTTTATCAGCTCTAGTAATTTTTGTGTGGAGCTTTTAGGGTTTTCTATATATAGTATGTTATCCACATATAGTGACAATTCTACCTCTTCTCTTCCAATTTGGATCCCTTTTATCTCTTTTTCTTGTTTTATTGCTTCTACAATGTCACGTCATACCAGTCAGAATGGCTATCATTAAAAAGTCCACAAATGATAAATGCTGGAGAGGGTTTGGAGAAAAGGGAATCTTCATACACAGTTGGTGGGAATGTAGTTTGGTGCAGCCATTATGGAAAAAAGTATGGAGATTCCTGCAAAAACTAAAAATAGACTTACCATATGATCCAGCAATTCCACCCCTGTGCATATATCCAGGAGAAACTCTAATTAAAAGAAATACCTGCACCCCGATGTTCACAGCAGCATTTTAAGAATAGCCAAGACATGGAAACAAGCTAAATGTCCACTGACAGATGACTGGATAAAGAAACTGTTATATGTATATATATGTATATGTGTGTGTGTGTGTGTGTGTCTGTATATATATACATACACACTACTCAGCCAATAAAAAAGAATAAAATAATGCCATTTGAAGCAAGATGAATGGACCTGGAGATCATCATTCTAAGTGAAGTAAGCCAGAAACGAAAGAAAAATACCATATGATTATCACTCATATGTGGAATCTAAAAAAAAAAAGACAGAAATGAACTTATTTACAAAACAGACATGGACTCACAGACATAGAAACAAACTTATGGATATCAGGAGGGAAAAGGAGTGGGAAGGGATAAATTGGGAGTTCAAGATTTGCAGATACTAACTACTATATATAAAATACATATACAACAAGTTTCTTTTGTATCACACAGGGAATTATATTCAATATCTTGTAGTAACCTATAAGAAAAAAGAATATGAAAATGAATATATGTGTGTGTATGTATGACTGAAACATTGTGCTGTATACCAGAAGTTGATACATTGTAAATTGACTATACTTCAATAAAAAAGGGTAATAATGGAATTTAAAAAGGGTATGGATACCAGAAAAAGTATGTGAATACTTGGTTTTAATTCTTTGACTTTGTCACAGACCTCAGCCGTTGAGAACACAACTTTTTAAGTTGCCTGCATCAATGCTGCAATAGCTTTTTAGTGTGGAAACATTAAGACAGGTATATATTTATGCCATTTCTAAAAAACTTGAGATTTTCCTGGAAACCCTTTGTGTGTTCTAGCCATCCATTGTTAGATAGCGATACGTGGATGTTATAGAGAAATGTTATAGCATGAATGTTATATGTCTCTAGAACGTAATGGAGGAGGAGCCCTCAGTTTAATATTTTGCTTTTTAGTTTGAATGTGATTCATACAGTCTGTCACTGGACTTCAATTGATATTAGATGTAACAATTGCCTGTCTGCTCTTCTCTCTGTCTGTCTCCTCATCGCTACAGTGGAGACAATGATATTGCCTACCACGTAGGTATATAGAGGACTGACTATTTGAGATAATCCATGTAAAGAATTTAGCACAGTTCAGGGCACTTAGCAAGTATCCAGTAAGTGTTAGCTGATATCATCGTCCTCAGCATCATCTGCATCATCATCATCATCAGTGAACTCCTCTGAACTCCATTCTTGTAGGGAGGTGATGATGTGGTCAGGAGCTTTGGTCCCTATATACATGCACAGGGCTGATCAGGGGGGATGATACTGCCATGGACCTTCCTGTATCCTTGGTGCCAGGAAATGCTTTAGTCCAGAAGGGAACAGGCATGAGTTTAGGCGGAACTTGCCTCGGGGTGTTGGCAGGCTTTGTTCTGAGCTACTTCTCCTTGAGGGGATTGTGTCTGTGTTTTTGGACAGAGTGGAGAACAGGGGCGAGGGGAAGATTTGAGCAAAATCTTTTTAACTGCTGAGTGAGAAGCTTCAATAAGTCACATTTTGTAAACTTAGGATTCAGGCTGTGGTGATCTGGCTACATAGAGAAGTGAAAATGCTTAGGTTTGAAATGAGGGTATGAAGCTACCTGGGAGCTTGTTAAAAATGCAGGATTTCTGGCTCCAGCCCAGAACTACTGCCCCAGAATCTGTATTTTAACATAGTGATTCTTATGTGCAGTAAAGTTCTCTTGAATGAGATTGACCAGGAGGTGAAAGAGGGTTGGTAGCATTGAGCCTGGCCTAATGTCCATCACCCCAGATACAGAGAATCAGAATCTATAAGGGGCTAAGGAAGCTGCGTTTTAAGAAACTCTTCAGGGAAATTTTATGAACTTGAGAATTTGAGGTAAGACATAAAAACTGTGCTAGGCAGAAGTGCAGTACACATTGTGAACACCAGCTGTCACTACTTTGCAATTTGAAAACGACCCTGCTAGTTACCAGCCAAAAGATTTATTACAAGAACATACTCTCAATTTGAAATGTAAAGATCTAGGGAAAATGAACTCTTAAAGTTAAACAGACTTGGATTATCCTGTGATTTTATTAAAGGTCTCTAGGACATATAAATGGCTTACAAAGAGTCGTGGTTGGAGATTTAGAAATTTTGAGTAATATGAATAAGCCCACATCCAGAGAATAGTGTCTTACTGCTCAGGGGAAATAAAGTGAATGCTTTGTGGTTTAAAAAACCAAACCAGACTCCACAATCTGAAAGTATATAAGGCAGTTCAGTGACTCTCAGAATATCTTTTCCTTTTCCCGGCCTCATGTTGCAATGTTAGTTTTATACTGGGTTTACCAGGTATTTAATTTTCATCTGCAGCTCAGGGATTGAAAGCCTTGTGTATGGACACTGCACCATACTGGGAGACTTGGATTCAAGTTCCGGTTTTTCCACAAAGCTCCATGTGAATCACCATGACGATGCCTTAATATCTGTGAGCCTTGAAACAGGCATACAGATGCCCCATAAGGGTTGTCCTGAGGAGGATCCAGATAATATAATAAACATGAAATTCTTTATACATTTTAAAGTATTAAAATAATGCAAAGTATTATTTGAATGCTTACAGTGTTGGGCCTTTGCTTTGATATTGGCCTTTGGAACCCCACTGAAACACTTTTCCATAAAAATGACTCTGGTCCTGCTAAGAGCCTAGTTGTTTCCCCCAGCTAGG